CAGTGCGTCTTCGCCGTCAGCGGGCCCCTGGCCCCCGAGGCCGCCTCCCTCGTCTACTTCCCCAAGCGCTACGGCTCCCACTCCAGCATGAAGTACAACCCCCGCGAGAGGCAGGTCTACGCCTGGGACGATGGCTACCAGATCATCTACCGCATGGAGATGAAGAAGAAGCTGGAGGTCTGAGGGCCGCAGCCCCACAGGGCCCCGGAGTGGGACAGCATCTCTGCCCCGTCCCCCATCACTGTGAAACGATGAAATGCTGGACCCCCGCCCCAACCGCCCCCACCCACCGGTACCAGGCATCCCCACCCAGGATCATCCTGCAGAAACCTGGACTAATTTAATGAGATTTTCCTCTCTGTGATTTAACGAATAAACACCGTGCAGTGAGCTGCCGCCACCTGCTTGGGGGGAGCGCGGGGCGCTGGGGCCAAGCTGCCAGAGCTGTGAGCTCCACATTGCCTCAGAGTCACCCCAAAAGACACCGGGGGGAGTCCACACAGGGCTGGGCAGTGAGGGCAGGCAGCTCCTGGGGCTGGGGTTTGGGCAGGGGCTCTGGGCAGGGGTTGATGTCAGGGCTCTGGACAGGCTCCTGCTGCAGCAAGGGCACTCCTGAGCCTGGCTTTTGCATGGTTTGCCTGTACAAATCTGTGAGCAAACAGCAAAATCCCTTAATCTGAGAGGAAAACTGGAGATTTTCCCCGCATGCTGGGCAGGCGTTGTGGCCAGCAGGCACCAGATGTTGCTGATTTTCCGACTTCACGTCGAATGAAGCTCAGTCGTCCTCCCAGCAGCCACAAGCCCTTTACATAAGGCCCTGCATTCCCCCAGCCCCTTCCCGTCCCCGTTTCACCAGCACCAAGCCCCCACACGGTCCCATGGTGTCATCCAGGGGAGATGGGACAGGGCAGGGTGGGTGCTGGGAGCCCCTTGGGATTCGGCTCAGGACCCCCATCCTTAGGGGCCTCAGCAGGGACCAGCTGGGCTCGGGCACATCCAGCAGGGACTGTCCCAGGTGCTGCCACCCCTGCCTGGAGGTGCAGGATTTGGCCCATTTCTGGCCAGAGATGCGGTGGGACCCCAGAAACCCCGTATTTGCTGTGGTTCGTCCCTGTCGCAGCGTCTCAGTGATGAACTGCGAGTGGTTTGTGTGTCGTTAAATGTCCCTTTTCCACAGCAGAGACCAATCCTGGGGACAAACGCTGAAGCCATGAGCCGGGCTGGTCGGGCACCCCAGGGAGGTGCTGGCCCCACTGCTGAGCATCCTGGGGGCTGTGGGGCCGCCCGCCCTCCCAGAGCCATGGCCATGCCTCCCCCATGTCCCCATGAAGGCATTCGGCATCCCCCGCGCCCACCTTGAGGGCAGCTGTCCTGCGATCTGGAGGTGACTTGGTATTTGCTTCAAGTTCTTCTGTATTATAATTAAAGTCTCTTTCGGCCGCATAAGAAAATGTTTAAATACACCCTTTGAATGACTGTAATTGGATGGTGCTGAAAGTTCAACACACAGTGCAAGTCAAGCAGAGAAATTATCCAAGTGTGAAGGGCTATGTGAACCGTCAAGTTAATTTATAGCCCTTTTCAAGATCAATAACTACAGTAACAGAAATATAATTTTCAGAAATTGCACAGTTGTAAATAATTATGCCAACGATTTCTCTAGCTTCAATTAAAATTGATGGGGCAGTGACGATTCTGCGCCAGAAACCATCTCCGAACCTGAGCCAGGTCCTACACGATCCTGCACTCATCCCTTGAGACGCTGGAGCTCGCCCATCCCTCGGAGCCCCCGGCCCTGTCCAAAACGGGCACTGCCACCTGCTCGGGGTGGCCGCTGCCACCTGTGCCATTGGGGACGTGTCCCATGGACTGGGGTGGGGAAGGGGGGGTGTGGGGATCCCTGGTGAGGGTTCAGCTTCTCTCCTTTGGGATGCATTTGCCAAGACGGGGAAGGGCAGCTTTTAGGGCAGGTGAGGGGCTGGGGGGGGCGTCTGCTGCCCCAAAAGCCCCAGCGTGACAAACACCTACAGCAGCAGCACGGGGGATGGGGCTGGTTTTGTACAAACACCTTGGGAACGAGAAGCAAAATGGAAAAATTACCGCAGTGCCTGATGGGCTTCTGAAGCACAGCACTTATCTACCACTCCACATCTTCAAAGTACTTCAAGAAACATCAACTAATTAATCCTAGGAATAACCCCCACAAAGCAGAACGGCGCTAACTTCGTTTGCTGACAAACACTCAGACAAAAATTGCGTGTTTGATCATTAAAAGTGCTCATCTCCGGGCTGGCTGAAGGTGGCTTGGGCCAGGAGCAGGGGTGCAGGGATCTGGGGGTGCAGGGACCTCCTCAGGGCTGCCCTGAGCCCCTGTGTCCCGTGTGGAAATGGGGCTTTTGGTCACTTTTGCGGCTGCTCCCTGTTGCTCTGAGCCGCCCCAGCCCTGGGGCTGTCCAGGTCCCTGCCCTGGGGCTGTCCAGGTCCCTGCCCTCTCAGCCATTCCCTCCGAAACAGCAGATTTTTGTGACAATTCAGCCTTGACTTCGAGGTCACGGTTGGCAGAGGCCCCACTGTGTCCCCGCTCAGCCGTGGGCAGGTTACGGGGACAGCTCTGCCCCGGGCGCCCTTCACAGCAGCGTTGTCGCTCCCCACGGCGAGGGGGCACCGGGAATCGTGGCAATGGCTGCTCTGAGTCTGCAGCTCCTTGTGCGTTAATTGGCAAATATTTTATCTCTTTAAAGAAGAGTCTCTGTAAGTAATAATCCCTTTCATCTCTGCTCCTCTTGAAAAATACTTCTCTTTGGAAAGCAATCTGATAAAGCAAATTGAGAAGTTATGTTAGCAGTAGGAAAGGGAAAGCAGGATCTTCTGGCTAATTTCTTCCTCTTTGTCTAATTCGAAAGGATATCGACTTTTTTTTTTCCACCCTGACTCTTTTCCAGCTCACAGGAGCTACTGATAAAGTGAAATGGTTCTGCATGTAGTGTCAGAGACAAAGGAACTAAAATTAAAAGCAGGCAACTTAAACAAGTGTATTATAGAGATGCCATTGTACTGAAACAAGAAGGGGGATAATTTCTCCATTTAGTACTTTCTTAATGGCTGGCTGGCAAGTGTAATCACAGCCTCTTAACTTCAGATGGGTCTTCTGCCCACGTAACATCTGGCTGCGGTCTTGCTGTCACAGACAAACTGGGAGCAGTGGGGCAGGAGTGGGAGGACGCTGGGGCTGCTGAGAGGGGCGAAATGGCAGTGGGGGTCATGTTTCACTGCAATTTTGGGTGAAAATAGAGAATAAGCGAAGCCAAATTCACCAGAAATGTTTGCTTGGGGCTCCGTTGCAAAGGGGCAGAGCTCAGGCTGGTGTGGCCGTGTCGGTGTGAGCTGGGGCTGAGCCCCTCTGCTGAAACTCCCAGCACCAAGCCTGGGCCTGAAATGGGGACAGTCTCCTTTGGGAAAGTGGGGTCATCCGATAATAACGGGAATTTAAAAGCTTGTGCTTAATCACAGCTCTGTGCTATTCCTGATTTTCGCATCGTCAGTGAGTTTGGGGCTCTACAAGGCGATTTCTTTTAAAAGGGTGGATTCTGTAGAATTCTGGGGTCCCTGCAGAGCTGGCTCCCCCCTGGCCCAGCCACCAGGGCTGTGGGTGCCTGGGCTCCTCTCCCCTCCCTGGCACTGGGGCGTCAGCTCCTCCCTTTCCTGCCAGGAAGGTTAAAAATAAAGTCTTCAGATTTGGAGCTCACAACCAGCGGAGCTGTGGTTGGTGACACACACAGAGCTGCTTTATTTTCTGGGAAGTTTCATTTTCTTACAGAATTTGCTGTTATTTCAGTACTTTGATCGAGATGGAGTGCTCTGCCCTGCTCCCGTTTCTGGTAACGAATCTGTCCCCAGCCCAGGAGGACATCGCTGACACGAGGGGACCGCGCAGGTGGCTGCCCCGTCCCGGGGATTTCACGCATCCCGCGGTCTACACGATTTCCCTGGGGTTTTCTTTGGGATGTTATTATTGCTAATTCCATTATTATGAAAGTTGTTTCCTGAGGACAGAAAAATACCAGCTCAGCTGTTCAGCTAAGCAGTTCTTTAATTTCTTTCCTCTCTCAAAATCAGCTCCCCAGAGCCATTCTGGAATGGATCCGAATTTTCTGCTTAATCCTCCCTCCTGAGGCAGAAACGCCACGGGATGCAGTGATGCTCCCCGTGTCCGAGGGGGTCGTGTCTGGGACCGTAGGCCAGGGAATGTGAGATGAGTTTTGTCCGTCCATTTGTCTTCAGCGCCCTCATCCCCACTGGGGCTCAGTGAACCCCCAGGGCCCCCTCGCAGGGGCAGACACGAGGACACAGGGCCCTGGGGGGCCACAGCAGCCACCCCCTGCCCCATGCACCCCCCTGGCCGTGTCACACAGAGACAGCGTCTGCCACCCTGGAGGAGACAAAACCACAGCAACTGAGATGATCCCAGAACATTGCTGCCATTACTACAGGGTCAAAACGAACAGAAATTACCAATTTTTCTCTCTCTGACAAAATACAGGACTCTGTTATTGACTCGCTAATTGCTCAGTTACGTGGATTTCTCCAAACTTGCCTGCTACCCCTTGGAAATGAAAGTGATGCAAAGACTGGCACTTCCACGGAGGCACAGGGGCACCCCCAGCCACATGAGCCGGACCCCCCAGGCAGGGGTGTGGGGGCCATGGGAGCCCATGGCCACGATGCACCGGGGGGGTCCCATGGGGACGGGACAGCAGGGATGAGGCCGGCAGGAAAGAGAGATATTTTAATATGTAATTAGACGTGCGACTGAGGGGAAATGAGAACAAAGAAATACATGTGAATGCATCGATTCATTTGCAATGGAAAACCAGGCCCTGACCTCCAGGCTCTCTCCTTGCCAGGACTGGAGTCCAGCCCATGACTTCTGCAGCCCTGCTCATCTGTTTCCATTCCCTTTTAACCTAAAAGTGCTCCAAGATTTGCAACCTGGAGGACTCCTGGCAGCCAAGGCACAGGCCACAGAGCAGAGCTCGGGCAGCAGATTGCTCCTCGCAGCTTTGGTCTAAATTGTCAGTTCTTCCTTGACTGCGGTTTTCCAGGAAAGCAGGGTTTTAAATGAAAAGCCGTTTTCCCCAACGGAGCCACCTCTGCTGTCAGTGTCAGCTGCCATTGCCTGCTTC